AAAAGGAGATCCCCAAAATTGTTGTGAAAAGGAGCTTAAATACCTCCTAAAACCTAGCTACCCAATCCCCACAAGGAAACTAAGTTAAAATAAAGTAATATTAGGAGATGAAATCCAAGTTGGATTAGGAGAATCTGCCCATAATCTGGTCAGCCACGTTTTGGCCTCAAATCTCCTCCAAATCTGGCCCAAGATAGCTTATTTTAAAGATAAAAATATTCTGAACACTTCTCCAGAAGGTCACGAACCGATCCGAGGTCATCTTGGGCTCCAAAAACGCAATGAAAGCCCAAAACGTCACTATTTCAGCACAGCGCACTGCTCCTTTATTTTATCGCCAGAAAATAATCGCTTGGTAGAAATGTCTGAAATTTCGATACAATCAAGCCAAGTGACTTACGAACGTCCTCTAACTGGAATTACTCCAAAATTCGTCCATTTGATTATGTTTTGCTTCAGAGGAAGTCGGAAGTCCTATATTGGAAATATAATTCAAAGTATCAAAATTCTTCCAAAATATTAATCAAAATATACTAAGAATGAGGTTAAATATATAATATAAAATTGACTCATCATGATGCATATATATATATATATAGAGAGAGAGAGAGAGGTCCCTTCTCTAGCAACAATACACGCTAAACACAGCTCTCACCCCCATCTAGAGAAATAACATTACAGTGTTGCGTAGAGAAGAAGATCCTCTACTGCCAAGGTGTCTGACCAAGGTTAGTGTTGAGTTATAAAAATATAGTTCAGATTAACATCTATGAGTTCTTGGATCCAATGCATCTGGTGCGTTCTAGGATCCTCGATGTTGGGCGCGATTTTTGGAGGATAGGGTTGTTGGTTGCAATCTCTGTTCCCATCTCTTAGGGTTCTTTTGTGGTGGGGATCTGGGATCCAGGTGGTGATAGAGCATTTACTGTTGTTGAGCCATATTTGGCCAAGTTTGCTAAAAAGGTGACGGAGGTCAACCTCGGGTCTCCCAATTCTCCCTGATGTGTTCGCTGAAACTTTTGTGGGCTTGGCATCCAATAAACGTTCTTATTATAATGCTCTTTTGTTAGAAGTTCGTCACGCTAAGAGGCCAATCTTGATCACCACTGCCTTGTTGGGTAGGGTTCTAGATTAAGAGTCATGGAGTTGGTATTGGTACTTTTGCTTGCTATGTTTTGACGATCACCATACGTTGTTCTTTACATAGAACTGTGCATGCATAGGAGTTTTTCTTTGACAATACTAAGTTGTTCTTTGCTGGGCTTGGAGTTGTGCATTTTTTTTGTCTGTCTTCTTTTGGGTTCTTTGTAGACTCATGGAGTTGGTATTAGTACTTCTACTGGCTATGTTCTGATGCTCACCACACGTTGTTTTGTATATCGAACTATGCGTGCATATATAGGAGTTTTTCTTTTATAGTCTTATGTTGTAGTGGGTTGTTCTTTGCGGGGCTTGGAGTTGCGCTTTGTTTTTTTGTCTATTTTCTTTTGGGTTCTTTGTAGCGGTCCAAAGGGGCCTGTGTCAAACTCTCTTGTTAGTCTATAGCATGTGTGGTACTCTGTGGTACTCTTCCCTACCCTAGGGTTTGTCCCATGTGATTTTCCTAGAAAGGTTTTAAGGAGGCCGCTATATTCGTGACAGTTTTTGTATGCTTTTTTGGCTTATAAATGAAATCCTATTCTCAAAATGAGATGTATGTTTTGAACGAAATTTTTTGATGGAAAATTGGAATGAGAAGAGTTTATGATTTTATAGATCAGATTCCATAGTTGCATGGATGGATGTGGGCGAAAAGCTACTAGTATAAGATTCCTATAAGTAAAATATAGATAAAAAACATGTGATGGCCTAATGGAAAAGCGTACTTAGTTGAGTGCAGTTGAGATGTAGACTATTTTTCCATATTTTTGGTCTGGTTTATAGCCCTAGTTAGACGAGCCTAGGTCCGTGCCTGACTAAGAACCATTTAGAATACAAAAGAGAAAGGTCCGATGAATCTAACTTCATTAGACTACTCTCTGTTTCGTATCCCTCTATTAGACATTTATAAATGAGATAGTTGCTATAAACATTAAAATACCCTTGGGAATTGATAATTGGTAAAGATTGGTATTGATAATCTGTCAGAGATTGAAGTACAAGGGACTACATCTTTTTTTAGACTAAAGTCGGAGTGATCTAGGGGACAAAGAAGAGGTGAAACACAGGCATTACAATTAGGGAAGAGGTCCCGATAACAGTCTTCTTCTTCTTCCTCCCTCTCTCTCTCTCTCTCTCTCTTCTTCTTCTTCTTCTTCTCTCTTTCTTCTCCCTCTCAATCATTGTCTTCTTCTTCTTCTTCCTCCCTCTCTCTCTCTCTTCTTCCTCCCTCTATCTTCTCCCTCACAGCTTGCATGTCTTCTTCTCCTTGGGGTCGTCTCCCATGGCTGCCAAGGCCAACATGGGACCTCGAAGCCATTTCTAGGGCTGCCATGGGGCCTTCTGACACCATTGACCCCATGGTGGATCCGCCACTGGTTGTAGTCATAGAGTCTTCTGCAGCTATTGTAGGAGAAAACAAGAAAGGTTTGGGTGCAATTCGCAAGGAATGAAGGGGTCCTTCCAACATCTCTACAACTTTGCTCATTGATGGCCGATCAGAAGGAATGGTCTGAATGCACCACAGACTTATTAATACCATCTTTCTTGCTATTTCTTTTTCCTCCTCTGTGATTGCCCCAAATGCATTTTCATCATTTTCTAGCTCTAGATCTTTATAAACATAATATGGAAACATTTCACTCGTATGAGACACTCCCGAATCCAAATTCTTTTTTGCTCCAACCATTTCAAGAACCAACATACCGTAGCTGTAAACATCAGATTTGTGAGATACTCCACCAAAGTTCCTGCTAAACACTTCCGGTGCAATGTATCCTGCAGTTCCTCTTGTCCCCATCATCGATACAATACTGTCCTTCGTTTTGCATAATTTGGCAAGGCCAAAATCAGAGATTTTTGGCCAAAAATCTTTGTCGAGAAGAATGTTCTGTGGCTTTATGTCAAAATGCAAAATTCTTGTGTTACATCCACGGTGTAAGTATTCTAGTCCTCGCGCAATACCAACTGCAATTTCAGATAGTGTTTTCCATTCTAATCGAAAATTTTCCATTTCAGATCCGTGCTTATGTATGAAATTATCCAGAGATCCATTAGGCATGAACTCATAAATCAAAGCCCTTTTGCCCCGCTCGTAACAGAATCCAGAAAGAGTGACTATGTTGACATGGGAGGTTCTACCAATGCTAGCAACTTCGTTAACAAAGTCTTCTCCATTACCCTTGGCCTCGCTTAGGACTTTAACCGCCACCAGAAGCCCATCAGGTAGCCTGCCTTTGTACACAGTTCCATATCCACCTTTACCTATTTTGTCTCTAAAAGAGTCTGTCATTTTCTTGACATTTGCATAGGTATACCGCTTTGGAGTAAGCGATCCATAGTTCCTTATAAATGCCTCAACATCAAACTCATCCCTCTTATCTTTCTTGATTGATATGCATATAATACAAAGAATGATTACCATAAATCCACCAACAGCCAAACCTGCAACAAAATACTTGTTTTCATTATAATTACTTGATTTGTTGGATTTTTATTGTATGTAATTATTAGTTAAGCTCCTAGTCATTTTAAACAGTCATTTAAGTTCTAAAACCACTTTGGAGGGCTACCATTTTAACTGTCAATCAAGAACTACAACGAAAACAAGTAACGAAGCAGTCAAATACTGTTTTAAAGAAGTGAAATATTACCTATTGCAATTTCCTTCTGCTTTCCTGAAACAGCCACAAGATAGAGAAATGTTAATCGATGAATGAATAATCAATTGTTAAAAAAAGACTACCTCAATTGCAACAAAGATATTTGGTAGATTACATAAACAAAAACTACCTTATTTGTCTTAAATTTGGTCATTATGTCGCTAATTTTACTCAATCGAGTCAATTTTTTGTCGCTGGTTAGTTTTTTTTGAGTTGGTAAAGATCCTTATCTTTGCTATCAAGGCCTAGGTTCGAATCCCCCTACCGACAGTGCCTCTTGGTGGGTAATCTATAAAAATGAAAAAAGGGTCTAAAACCACCTCTGTAAGTCCACAAAGAGGCATTGGTATGCCCTGACCTTGAGATGGGATAGCCTCCCCTTCCCCTATTTTCATTAAAAAAATTAAAGAAAAAGAAAGAACCCTGTATAATTATTTAAAAAGAAGACTGTTATTGGCACTCCAAAAATGTCATGCACTATCTTTCAAAATGACAGTTGTGGAGTGACTTCAAATTCAATATAAAAGAAGTATATCTCCCTTACATTTTTATGAGGGACGAGTGTAAGCTGACATATTTGGGAGGGAGATCTGGTACCCAAGGGTACATAGTTTCTAACATTGATCTTACTATAGCCAAAATTTAGTCCCTTGAACTTAGGGTAGCCACAATACTCTGGCCAGTTTGATCCTCCGAAAGGATAACCAATATTTGAAATATTTGAGTATTGAAATTATGTGCTGCAGTTGAGGGAGTCAAAGTCGACTTACTGGTTAGTTTTTTTTATGTTCAATACTTCGAGAATAAGACTTAGTCAATGAAAATTTTGGTAACCACAAAAACGAAGTTTTTTCTTTTGCTAGAAAACATGGAATTATCAACTTGAACAAAGACCTCTGTAGGTAGGTGCATAATAGAAAAATGTAGAGCTACCAATTCTGGAATTAAATTACTTAAAAAAAATTCAAAGTCATCTTCCCAACATTTTTTTTTTTTTTAAGAGAGTAACAAAGAGCATGCATAAATGAAATTAATAATTTTTTAAAAACTTATTAAATGAATGAGTTTTGTATACTTTTATAAGGCTAATTATTTATAACAAAAGTCTATGATAGTGTTTAAGAATATGTCAAGTCACCAACTTAAAAAAGTCTTTACAAATACGGATTAGATACAACCCCTTAAAGCCTTTGCAGTAAATGTAGGTTTTTTTTTTTTTTTTTTTTTTCCAGGAAACATGGAATTATAAAGAAGTTTCAATTATGCACCCAAACCTCTGCTTCACGGACCTTTTACTCTTCATCAAGGCCATTAAAAAAAGTGCCACAAGTATAATTTAGCAGAGATCAGTTGATGGTGTTAACTGAAGTTGGAGGACAGGCAATTTCCCAAGAGTCCTGCCAGCAACTGTACCTCAAGCCCTCTTCAATAGGAATCGGATTTTGAAGTCAAGTGAGAGCCACAAAAAGTGTTGACTGGCACCATCAAGATTTCCAATTCGATGCATGTGCCAAAGGATCAAAATGATCAAAACATGAACACTCTTAAGGGTTTAAAAGTTTTACAAAATTTTCTATCCAAAATGTTCAATTTCTGAAATTCGTAGCAACATGATCTCTTTTCTTGTATACGTCAAGTTCAGTAGTTTCTGTTTTTTGTTTCTGCACACAATTCCCGATTTCCGACCCAGGTTTTTAACAGACGAGCCTAATGACACACACCTAGGTAGCTGTCTAGGATGTAATAAAAAACTGTTGATGCCACCAATCCTGGAATTCAATTCTGTAATTTATAAGAGAATGAAGAGGGACAGACGTACCTTGTGCTCCGGGTGCAGCTGCATTACATACGGCTGCATAGGCCTGATCCAGGCAAAAGCAACTGAATCCACCAGTAGCGTTATGCCCACACTTCCCTCCTGATTGCACACAACTGTTGCATTCAACATTATCAATCTCCAATCCCAATTCAAAGCCCTCATCTACGGCTTCCTGGATAGTTGTTCGATTGGCCTCTAGAGCCTGAGCAGCTGTCGTAAAAACCGGAACACTGACCCCAGCTGTACAGGCGCGGGTAGCAACTAGATCAACTGGGGGATTCTGGGTGAAAGACCAAACAGTAATGTCACCGTTGTTCGTACTGCAAACTTCGGAAGTATACCCCGAGATAGTTATACTTGTATTGCACGCGTAGTAAAAGGTCATGCTTGTAAGCCCAGACGGATAATTAAACAGAGAGAAGTTGATGCTGGTGTTGACATAAGTCGGAGGACAGAGAGTTCCCCAATAGTCCTGCCTAGCAACTGTAACAGAGGGAGCAGTAGAGTCCGTTTTAAGAATTCTGTAGTTGATACTCGATATGTTGATCATGAGGACATTATCTTGGCATTTGACCTCAAACCCCGGCAGACCACAGTAATTAGCCCGGTTTACTCCCCAAAAGGGATATGAGATGCCTCCGATGCCACCGCAGTTAATAGCTTCGCTGCAGTTTGTATATTGTTCATTGTCCTGGCATAGACTTAACTCAACGTTGATCAAAAGAACGGAAGTGATCAAGAGCAAGGGAAACAACGATTGAAGCAGAAGGGAATGCATATTTGCTGGGAAGGCTCAGGGTAAGTGACAAACCAATACAAGTATAAAAATAGAAAAAGGGAAGCACAAGATTACAACTAGGAAATTCACAGGTCGTCGTGATTAATGAATGAGTCGTGTTTTTTGGGGCATAGAAGACTTCGAAATATTCAATGAATGGGACATAGAAGACTTAGACATTATGATAGATTTAATAATACAATTTTAGGCCCAATAAAAGAAAACCTACAGAAGGATAAATTTATAAGACTTATTATAGGTGAGTTTTCTGTTGTTTGATATAAGACTTATTATATGTTTATAAGACTTTTCTGTTGTTTGCCAGTCAATGGAAATTTCGATGCCACTAAAGCGCGTCTATTCAGAAAATGAAGTTTGTTTTTTGGGCCAGGAAACGTGGAATTATCAAGGGTCAGGCTCGAAACCTCTGCTTCACAGTAATTTCAGAAAGAGAAACAAAGGAAGACCTTAGTAGTGTTGAGCCCACACTTTCCACTATTGATTCGTCACAACTGTACATTGATTATTATCAGTCATCAATTTTAATTGAAAACTCACGCGATCCACTACAAATATTACTTCAACAATTTAAATTTATGGGGTCCACACTACTAAGGTGCTGTAGAATTTACACTTCTCCTCTTGCAACAATTTTTGAATTTCTGTATGAGTAACTTTAAATATTTGATTTAATTTGGTTTCACTTCAGGATTAAAGGAATCTTTGATTTAATTTGGTTTCAAATCAGGATTAAAGGAGACGAATACTTCCAATCGAGGACATAAATTGAAGTCTACATGGTTCCTCTTTTTGGCCAAGTAGGCCAAAGGAAGGATTTTTTTGGTCCTTTATCTCTTGAGATGCGTAGGCGTGCCACCATCAAGCCACTTAATGGCTTGGATGGAAAATTTGTGCAAGTGTGTTTGCGCTTCTGACTTCTAATCAAACGATTGATTGGCCAAGCAAGGAACCTCCTCTTAATGTAGGTTCTTTCACTTCCTCGGGTCAAGAATGATTGAGCTTTATTCAACTCATGGGTTTGGCCATTAAATGGCCTCAAGTGACTTTCATTGAAAATCCTTCCAAGATGTTCTAGGCATTTAATGAGAATTTCCCAACCACTACCAATCCATATGGTTGGCCAATAAAATGGAATTGGGACTGTGAAACTCTTCTCTTAATTTGAGATGCAATAAGTCTTGGTATGCTGGCTATCTTTGAATTCCACCACTTGCAAGGAGGCTTCTATTGGAATTTCTGAACTTAGCTTCGCAGGTTGAGCTTTGGACTTGATCTGACATTTGGTGAGATGTTGTGCACTTGGAGCTTTTGACTTGGTTGAGACTCCTACCAACGTTGAGTGATATGTGAACAGCAAAAATATTTGGATGTCGGCAGCATGGTGAGTTCTCCAAATATTTAGATGTTGGAGATTCTGGCTTTGGTTGAGAAGCTGCAAAAATTGGCATGGAAGCTCCAAGATCCATCGAGGAAACTCTTGTTTAATTGTCGCATATTATATATATTAATAAATTTGAGCATAGCAATGAGGAAGAAAATTTGAGCATGGGACTTAAACATCAGCGAGGAACCTTGATGGGCCGCATACTCTTGTTTTTCTCCTATGGCCATATCGTGTCGGCCGCACGGTTGATGGTTGCATACTTTAGTTACTACTTTCTTTGTGTAACTAATGTATGTTTAATTTGAACAAAGGCATATATGGCCATATAGGCCCATTCAAACTCCAGCGGCATGAGCTTTCTTCAGCTCATGGGTTTGGCTATTAAATGGTCTCAATTGACTTTCATTGAAAATCCTTCCAAGATTAACGTCTTTCGGGGCTCTAGGCATAATAAGAATTTCCCGACCACTACCAACCCATATGGTTGGTCAATAAAATAGAATTGGGATTATGAAACTCTTCTCTTGATTTGAGTGCAATAAGTCCTAATACGCTAGCTACAAGTCTTCCCATCTTTCAATTCTACCACTTGCAAGGAGGCTTCTGCTGAAACTTCTGAACTTAGCACAAGACCAACCACTTCTTTTCCTTATATCTTATGTGGCCCCCACAACTATTTAAGCCACTTTGATAATTTTTCTTTTTCTGCCGGTGTTGCTGAGAAGTTCTTCTCTTTTTCAAACACACATATACATAAATATGTTTATATATATATATATATATCATAAAGTAATATATTCACAAGACACCCAACAGCCCAAGGAAAAAAAGAAAATTACTCAAGACACCCAGCACAGCTGTGCACTACACCTCATTTGAAGACTAAAGAGCCAGCTCACTCCATGCTAATGTTGAGAGGATATGGATGAATATAGTATATTTCATTTCTATATAATTATTCTAGAGACTTCTTTTATAGGACAAATATACACATTATAAATGTACACAATATGTAAAGAGAAAAAGATTGAGACAATGTATATAAGAAAAAAAATTCATATTCAAAATTCTAGCCGAGCAATCTTCTTCATTTTTTTAAAAAATTCAGTCCTTTCTTGTCTCTATAAATGAATATATCCCTTTTAGTGTAATTTCTTAGAATATATAAGTGTGGATCCCAGCAACTTTCTTTTAAAGCCGTTTGGATGGCTTTCCTTCCCTTTTGCGATTTTTAGCACCCGAGACTTGCAAAGATCCTCTTGTTATATTTCAGAACTTCCTTTCCTTCTGAGGTTTCTCCTAGCGGCCGCTGGCATTAATTCAACTCTTGGTGGATTGGGTCAATTTTGACCACCCCCAAACACTACGTAAATGTCAGGAAATAAGAAAGAGCACTACCTTGAGAAGACAATCTGACATATTAATACAATGTCAACCAGTATGAAGATCAGATCGTCTTGGCCGGACATTCTGTTCATATGTCGCATTTTTTAAGCTTAGTTCTTTTCTGGCGACCATGCAAACTGTTATGCCTACATAGTTTCACCATAATGAGGTTACTTGGATCAGCATATCGAGGCCTTGGTGCTGTTAACTATTGGCGAGTCCTTACTTAGTTAGGATTTTGGTTCCTTATTTCATTAGAATTTTGGTTACTTACCAATAATTATGTAGTCCTATTGTAATAGAGATTTACTTCCTATTGTAATTTAGATATATTTCCTATTTTATTTAGGGTTAACACATCTTTGTACTTGTATAAATACCTCCATATTGAGAAAGAATAATAATCTCTAAGCATATCTGAATATTTGCCCTACTTTGTTTGACTTGGTATCAGAGTCTAGGTTTTTGACAGGACCCGCCCCAGAATTTCCCCTGAAACCGGGGCGGACCCCGTTTTGGTGCCGACATCACACCGATGTCTGGCCCACTTACTAAAACCCCAAGACATCTTACCAAAATTTTGGCAGAGTCTCCCCTGTAAAATGCTCAAACCCAACAATATTCAACCTGCATAATTTACATAATATAAATCTCATCTGCCAGCATGCTTTTAACATACAACAATCCAAAATAAAGTGGCCTCCGGCCTCAAGTAACAACCTAACATGGGCGATAACAGAGCATCTAACAGAATTTGTTTATAACAAACAGTTGAGTAGAAGGAATTTACACAAGTCCTATCTACGGATGAAATGTTTGGAGCTCGCAACTTGCTCGAACGCTTCCAAAAGCAACTACTGCCTTGGGGGCGCAAAACAGAAATATGTGAGTGGACAAAAATAAAGTTTACATTTTAAATCAACATAATAACCCCACCATGTAAAAATAATGCTCTAGCATGCAGTTTCACAATTCATAAACCAAAACTCAAAACACATTATCCCAAAATCCAATAAATCTTCAAATCTCAAATCACAAGTCCATTCCCAAAGATATGCAACTCTCATCAACCCGTAAACACCTATATATATATATATATATATCTATAACTGTAACTATAATATAATATATACTTCTCTCCATACTAATGTACCGGGGAAACAATCCAACCGGGGGATTGTTTGGCTGGTACGCAGGATTTCCGAACACTAACCCGCGTCCAGGGATGAGTAGTCCAACCGGAGGACGGAACTCCATAGCTCACACGTCGGCACTGCCAACGACACGTGTAGCTCACAAATCTCATAACAAGTCCTACGCGCGCAGACAGTGTCTCACACACCGACATTGCCAACGACATGTGTGAGACCCACAATCTCATGGTCTTCCCACCCCACCGGCACTGCCAACGACATGTGTGGGAAGCCTAGTAACTAGGGAATGGTACTCACCTAACATACTCATACATCTCACAACCATCCCTCAAACTCATATCTTTCCACAATCTCACCACAACAACCTCTCATACTCTATACATAGGCAATATAGATAGACATCCCAAAATTCATATAAACATATTCCTCATACTCAAATATATCCATATTTAAAATATATTGCCAATACGCATAAGAATATTCAAATACATCAACCAAATAATTGTTAAATCAAAATCACCATTTAAAATATATGCACAAATCTTTTATCAATAAAACCATGCATATGCTTATAACAAAGTTCACTCACAAATAATCCCAAGCTGCCCGGCCCCGAGAGGGTCCTGCCTGCTGCGAATGATCAACCAAAGTACCTATTTTGAGATACGAACTCTTGAATAATATAACGCACTTCCAAAATAGAAATTCACAAAAGGAAATACTTAAATCCCCAAGTTCCCGGTGCGTGTACGTCCAATGGAATATCCTAAGGTCCGGTTACAGGTTTGGGAATCGCTTCCTATCGTACGGTTATCGCTAATCCTCAAACTTTGAATTATTGAATCGGAACATCCGGGGCTCCAATTCACGATCCACGAATTCCTATAAGTTTCTAAGAGTACCTAGATCGACATACTTCAATTTGGAAACGATCCAACGGTTAGAACTTATCGAACCTGGATAATGCACAATATGCGAAATCCGTTCGATAGTCAAACGACATCCAAATTGAGATCCGCAAAATCCTACGCACTCATGACAACCTAAGGATCTCAT